CTGTAGGCTCTTTCCCCCTACTGATGTACAATATAAGGTGACCTCTGGTCCCCCTACTGTTATCTCCTACTGATGTACAATATAAGGTGTTCTTTCGTCCCCCTAATGTTGTACAATATAAGGTAACCCCTGGCCCCCTACCGTTGTACAATATAAGGTGACCCCTGGTCTCCCTATTGATATACAAAATAAGGTGATCCCTGGTCCCACTACCGATGTTCCCTACTTATGTACAATTTGAGGTGACCTCTGTTCCCCCTTCTGATGTACATAAAAGGTGTCCTATGGTCCCACTACTGATGTACAATATAAGGTGACATCTGGTCACCCTACTGGTGTACAAAATAAGATGACCCCTGGTCGCCCTACTGATGTACAATATAATTTGTCCTCTGGTCCCCCAACTGATGTCCCCAACTAATAAACAATATAAGATGTCCCCTGGTCACCCTGCTGTTGTACAATATAAGGTGTTCTATGGTCCCCCTACTGATGTACAACATATGGGGACCCCTGGTCCCCCTGTTGATATATAATATAAGGTGTCCTCTAGTACCTTTATTATGTACAATATAAGGTGACCTCTGGTCCCTTACTGATGTTCAATATTAGGTGACCACAGGTCCCCTACTGATGTACAATATAAGGTGACCTCTGGTCCCCCTACTGATGTCCCCTATTGATGTTTAATATGAGGTGTCCTCTGGGTCCCCTACTGAGGTACAATAAAAGTGCCCTCTGGTCCCCCTATTGATGTAAAGTGTAATATTAAGTGTCCTCAGGTCCCCTACTAATGTTCAGTATAAGGTGACCACAGGTCCCCTACTGATGTACAATATAAGGTGACCTCTGGTCCCCCTATTGATATACAATATAAGGTGACCTCTAGTCCCCCTACTGATGTCTCCTACTGATGTACAATACAAAGTGGCCTCTTGTCCCCCTATTGATCTAAAGTGTAATATTAGCTGTCCTCTGGTCCCCTACTGATTTTTTTTAAATATAAGATAACCACAGGTTCCCTACTGATGTACAATATAAGGTGACCTCTGGGTCCCCTACTGATGTCCCCCTACTGATTTTATATATTAGGTGACCCCAAGTCCCCCTTCCAATGTACGATATGTGGTGTCCTCTGGTCCCCCTACTGATGTACGATATAAAGTTACCTCTGGTCCCCCTATTGATACACAGTATAAGGTGACCTCTAGTCCCCTAGAGATGTCTCCTACTTATGTACAATATAAGGTGCCCTCTGGCCCCCCTATTGATCTATAGTGTAATACTAGGTGTCCTCTGGTCCCCCTACTGATGTTCAATATAAGGTGACCTTTGGTACCCTTACTGATGTACAATATAAGATGCCCTCTGGTCCCCCTATTAATGTAAAGTGTAATATTAAGTGTCCTCAGGTCCCCTACTGATTTTCAATATAACGTGACCACAGGTCCCCTACTGATGTACAATATAAGGTAACCTCTGGTCCCCCTACTGAAGTCCCCTACTGATGTACAATATTAGGTGACCCCTAGTCCCCCTACCAATCTACGATATATGGTGTCCTCTGGTCCCCCTACTGATGTACGATATAAGGTGACCTCTAGTCCCCCTACTGATGTCTCCTACTGATGTACAATATAAAGTGCCCTCTGGTCCCCCTATTGATCTAAAGTGTGATCTAAAGTGTAATACTAGGTGTCCTCTGGTCCCCCTACTGATGTACAATACAGGGTTACCTCTGGTCCCCCTATTGATGTAAAGTGTAATATTAAGTGTCCTCAGGTCCCCTACTGATGTTCAATATAAGGTGACCACAGGTCCCCTACTGATGTACAATATAAGGTGACCTCTGGTCCCCCTACTGATGTCCCCTATTGTTGTTAAATATGAGGTGTCCTCTGGGTCCCCTACTGATGTACAATACAAGGTGACCTCTGGTCCCCCTATTGATCTAAAGTGAAATATAAGCTGTCCTCTGGTCCCCCTACTGATTTTTTTTAATATAAGATGTCCACAGGTCCCCTACTGATGTACAATAATAGGGGACCTCTGGTCTCCCTATTTATATACAATATAAGGTGACCTCTAGTCCCCCTACAGATGTTTCCTACTGATGTACAATACAAGGTGCCCTCTGGTCCCCCTATTGATCTAAAGTGTCATATTAGCTGTCCTCTGTTCCCCTACTGATTTGTTTTAAACATAAGATGACCACAGGTCCCCTACTGATGTACAATATAAGGTGACCTCTGGTCCCCCTACTGATGTACAATATAAGGTGTCATCTGGGCCCCCTACTGATATACAAATAAGATGATTACTGGTCTCCCCACTGATTTAGAGTATACGATAACTTTTGTTCCCCCTTCTTATGTAAAGTGCATTATAAGGTTTCCTCTGGTCCCCCTACTGTTATTCAATTGAAGGTGACCTCTGGTCCCCCTACTTATGTACAATATAAGGTGATCCCTGGTCCCCCTACTGATGTACAATATAAGGTATCTTATGGTCCCTTACTGATAAACAATAAAAGGTTACCTCTGGTCCCCCTACTGATGTACAAAATAAGGTGCCCTCTGGTCCCCCATATGATGAAGAACAGAAGATGACATCTGGTCTCCTTTTTGATGTACAATATAAGGTGACCTATGGTGAATGAGACAAAGGTAATCTTATGTTGTACATTATTACGATGTTATTGAAAGTTGTAAGTAGGCAATAATTTAAAATCATGGTATGTTTAGAATTATATTTCAAATCCTCTCAAAAAAAGAATTGCGACCCTAATTTTTTGACCGATGAAAAAGTGCACAATTTCTCCAAATTCTCTAAATGTACATGTATGTAATTGGAATTAGTCAACTTGCTTGTCTTCAACTACAGTATATATATGTATCCCAAAGTTAAATAACAATTGGTGCATTTTTAAAATTTTATTTCCTTTTTTCAATGTAGTTTTGATGGGTTTATGAATTTGATGTGTTAATTCCAGGGAAAGGGGAGGAGAATTCCATGCAGCCCCAAACTTTGTAATACAGGTTGTACATCTTCCTTGTAAGATAAATTAAAATCAGGGATTTCCGGCAAAGAGTGTTAAAGTGGTGAGGTCGCCTATTTAAGCATGACCTCACAAGGAAGACAAAAGAGACATTAAATAATTTATTAACAAATAATTATTCCATTATGTAAAAGAATTGGTGAAAAGTCCAAGCGAAATGAAAAGGGGGTGGTGGGGGGGGGGGGGGGGGCAAAATCTTCATCCCCCCCTGCTTGTTAGAGATCTGCGAATGCAGAGACTGGATGTACGTCGTTTACTCTGAGTCGCTTACTATTAGTAAGGAGATCAGAGGTTAGGCACTGCGTTATATAGATACCATAACCTTACATGGAATAATAAAATCATAGGGGAGACCACAGGTCACCCAACATAATCCATAAATGTTAAACTCTAATACATCATATATCTTATAATATTGCAGTTAATGTTGCTCAGCAACCCCCCTCCCACTCTTTGTTTTCTAATACCCATCACAGATGGTTATTCCCTTGACAAAAATAAATTTTCTGTTTTTTTTTTTACACTAAAAAGGCTTCACAGTATTACGATTTATTCTATTTTCACTTTACGTATGCAACGCACTACATTTTGTAGCGGAGTAAACAGACCCGATAGATGTGAACTGCGCGGGGGACCTAAGGTCCTAGTTCAGCGTACGTTTTATCCTTCTGCACTTTAACCCTGCCTTGTCGTCGGAATAAAACCAACTTTGAGCCCGAGGTTAAAATCAGTATAGAGAAATAAAATGTGAATCGATATTTTTAAAAATGACATATGCTTGAAAAATGGTAACTTTATATATGAATTTTTTTTCTTTGATTCGCGGGATAGAAAGATATGTTAATCGCTAAACCAACATGCCATAATCATCTTGCATGTGCATGTACATGTACATTTGCGCGAATGCAAAACGTTAAACGATATAAAGTTGATAGTTGATATCATTGTATTGTTATATTCTTAAATGAAATCCTTGGATACTTAGCATATATTTAAAAGGTCTTAGAGGAACAAGGCACGAAAAGGGACATGGGGAGCGTTTGGGGAACATCTGTAATGGTCCCTGTTACAATTAGCACTAGTTTAAAAATGTTTCACATATACTGCAACGCTATCTGTGGCCACTGCAAATCATGTGTTTGGTGTTTGACTATTGAGCAGTGAATGATCTTATCGTGCTAGCATATACTGAGACATACGGTGTTGTTTAATACGCTTTAATTAGAAAGACCAATCCCATCATCGCAAAATGGATTTGATTCTGCTTTCTAGTAACTTTGCTATGCAGGCGATATAATTTATCTGCAATATAATGTTTTGCAATTTTGTCCAATTCTGCTTATACTCCAACACTAGGATTTGAGGAACATTTTTTTTACTTCTCCCCTTCTACGAATCAAACTCATATCTATCTAAGAGTGTCCTCCAAGTAAAGAAATAATAGTGCCTATTAGCCAAGTCAAGTCTTAAAGTCGATTAAGATTGAAGTAGATCTTTTATTTAAAGAAAATCCTTGTCTGGGATATATAACTCTTGTCTTAAGACGCTTGTATGACATAATACTTATGAAACCCCAGAGCAAGAGTGTTCAGTTTAGTAACAAGTCAAGGTCAATGCTATTTTTATAAACTCCAATAAATGGTAATAAATTTTAGCCCTATTTACTCAATTAGATTAAAAATCAATTTTGAACGAAGACAAATTTTATCATTTTTTTTTTCTTACAATAAAATACTGGTAGCAAAATTTTCTCCCTACACCTAGATAAATTTTGTGGAAATATCTTTTGTACAGTTTACAAATCTACTTGACCTTTTTGTCCTTCACATCAAATTTTAGATAGACTTCATTTAATGATACCTAGTTTTGCTTGACAATATTTCTGCGATATTCAACATTTTAAATTTTACTAATGGTACTTAATTATATATTTTTCTTTCAGGTTTTTATAAAAATTATCAACGTAAATATAACATCTGTGACCATGGTAAGTTATATTGTACTCAAAAACAACATATAACAGACATCATAAAAAATGCTTATAAATGCTTAATTCTCCTACCTTTTAATTCTTTTAAAAGTTTTCTGTTTCATATACAGATGACGAGTATTGTTATGCCTGCAATGGTGGAGAGAAAGAAAGGCGCAGTCATAAACATTTCTTCCGCTGGTGGAGTGCATCCTATTCCTCTGCAAACCGTATACTCCGCCAGTAAAGTATGTTATCTATCAATTCGGTCTAGACTTAGCTCTGAATTAAATTTGCAGGATACGTTATCGAGTATATTCTCTATACTTGTGCTTTACTAGTATACGAGAGGAACTCGTAAGTTATAAGAAGACAAGTAAGTTATAAGAACTTGTTTCCAATCCATTTCATTATTTCAATACAATATGTTCAAAACAAAAGTATCTCACCAGTTGTAAAGTGATGCCCCTTCCTCCTGTCCACCCTGTGCTCAATCTTTAAGACAGTCGTTCTTATACTAGGACTTTCTGTCTGTTCTCTTCCTCTGGACTAAACAGCACTCTTCTGCTGCAAGTTTTCTCCCCTTTAAGGTCCCAAACTTATAAATATCAAAATGTCTCTAGATGTAAAATTGAACCCTTTTCAACTACTACACCATCTGAAAGATAAAAAAAAATGAAGTCTAATCAGAAGTCTGTCCTCATTCGTGGGTCGGTATCCTCCCAATCTGTTCATCAAACACCCCCCCCCCACCCACACACAAATGTTCTCTATAAATTAAAAAAAAATAATTGAAAGATTGACCTCCTTATTTTAATCTTTCAAAAGTCCAACATCCTATGCCTGGATATTTTCATGTTTAAGGAGAAAATAAGGTTTTAAGTATTCTGAATGAATAAATGAGCTTGGAATTCAAGCCGAACACAAGAGTTGTCCAAGTAACGTCTTAATATTTTTTTTTCAATTATAAAAAAAATAAGTATACTACAGAATTTATGCAGTATCAATTTTTAGCGACACAAAACTTACGATCATAAATATTATTTTAACTAGCAAATGAAATTAGTAAAATATTACCTGCATAACTGACTTTTCAAGAAAATCACATTTTCAGGCATATGTGACATTTTTCTCCCGGTGTATACAATCTGAATATGAATCAAAAGGAATTATTTGTCAGGTAGGTAAATATTTTATACAATATTTTTAGAACGGAATACAATGACGA